TCAATAGATGAAGCAAAAATTAAGAAAAAAATACTTGGAAGTTTAGGTATCTCTCAATAGATGGAGAAAAAAAAATGAAGAAAAAATACTTGGAAGTTCATTTATCTCTCAATAGATGAAGCAAAAATTAAGAAAAAAATACTTGGAAGTTAAGTTATCAGAGGCGACTGCGGGAATGAACTCTCATTGCAGGTACTTACACAAAAAGCGCTCTGATTTCCAAAGTCACAAAAAGTTGCCGAATTTTTTTTTCACTGACTTTCCTAAAACTTATATTACTGTCAGATGCAAAAATCAGATTGGACAAATTTGGACATTTTTACTTACACTTATTTTAATTTTTTTTTTACATAGTAACTTTATCTACAATCTATGATATTTCCATATAAATAATTATATTTTAGCTCATTTGTAGCACAATGCAGCGGTGGGCCGGATCCGGCCCGCTTGCCGTAGTTTGGTGACCCCTGGTCTAGATTAACGAGAGTTTACTGCATGTATCAATTAAATGAGTATTTATTTGTGTGAAAGTATTAAACTCGTCACTAATCAAATTGTATGAGCTACTACATGAATTAACATTAATTTAGAAGAAATTTGAGTACATCATTAAAATAAGATGCTCAATCTGGTTTGTTTGTTTCTCATATTCATGTAAGGCCACACAAGGGCTAGCTGCACTAATCCTCCCTAATTCTGAACTAGTGGTCTAGATTATTTTGTTTGGTTTGTTTTTGAATTTCGCGCAAAGCTACATGAGGGCTATCTGCCCTAGCCATCCATAATTTAGCAGTGTAAGACTAGAGGGAAGGCAGCTAGTCATCACCACCCACCACCAACTCTTTTACCAACGAATAGTGGGATTGACCGTCACATTATAACGCACCCACGGCTGAAAGGGCGAGTATGTTTGGTGTGACGGGGATTCGAACCGCGGCCCTAAGATTGTGAGTCGAGTGCCCTAACCACTAGTGGTCTAGAAGTGAGATGATGATAAACAGCACCCACCACCAACTGTTGGGTTATTCAAATCTATTAATGAGATTTGACTGTACTCTTATAATGCAGTGATATTTTCTTTTCATCAGTAGAGCTAACTGTAGGACTTTATTTACACAGTCTTGGCACATTACCAGTGGCCCCAGACTGCTCAGAAAAATTCTTTTAATTTCTGAAATTCATTTATCAAGTTAGTACTATAATTTAAATGCTTTCAAAATTTCTTTGATTAAAAACTTTACATACCCTCAGACATATTTATAGATAGAATTTGATTGAAATCTTTACCTTCGATACACTAGTAGTACAAAACACAATGTCTGGTGCTCAGGCAGTAAGTCTGAAGACTTATGATGCTATAAACGGATTTTGATACCTGCAGTGGGCAGAACACAGATAACCAATTGTGTTGCTTTGTGCTTAACAAAAACAAAAAGTTCTTTAGCTTGTTTGAATGGCAAAGCGTTTGATATGTGGTTTCTTCTAAATAAAACTTATAAATGAGCACAACATTATGGTCAATTAAATGACAGAAATAATCCTCATTACTTCAGAAATATAATGTAATTAAGAGGAATCAATCTCACTTGAAGGTGAAACATCATCTAATTATCATTTTATTTCAGTACAAAAGTACCCAATTACTTTTTCAGTCAAATGCTGTCTGCGTGTTATATATTTTAGTAGAAGTGCTTGAATTTCAAAGATTTTTATGTAATGTAAAACCATAATAATTCAAATCTCTATATTTGAGTACAGGTGCTAAGTTAAGCCTAACAAGCCTACTTGTTTATGACAATTCGTAGGAACCACTACATAACAAATGGTGCTGTATTTGGTAAACGCTTTGTTCTAAATTTACAACTTTATTCTTGACACACAACAATCATTATTTGACTAGATGACATTGTGAATTTTAAGAAAAGTTTGATTTTCAACTTAGTTATAAATAGTAATTTAGTAAAAATTTATCAAAACATAAATAACTTTTCTGTAGTGTATTGTTCTACATAAGGCTTGGTGGCATGGCCTGGTGGTTCCGTTGCAAGTTTGAATACCTGTCGTCGAACGTGCTCATCCTATATGGTTGCAAGGTGGGTCAGCCACCAAAATGTAAAAATTCTTGGCTTACAAAAAAATACTGGCCAACCCGAAACTGGATGGGATTAAGGTTATAATGAAAAAAAATTGTTCTACATAAATATTAGAAAACACCTTTGTAGTTCTGTGTTTGACTACTTGAATTTTTTAGCCATGTACTTTGAAATAAGCAAAATCTAGACAGCAAGAATATAGTGGCTGATTTTATCTAAATTATTATCTTATCAGAAAAACTTGTTTATTTTGAATTTTGCAAAAACTACTAGAGAGTTATCTGCACTAGCCATTCCATATTTTGAAGTGAAAGACTACAGGGAAGGCAGCTAACTAACACCATCTACCCTCAAACCTAAGGTTACTCTTTACAAACAAATAACAGGATTGACCATTACATTATAATGCCCCCCACAGCTGAAAGAGTAAGCATGTTTAGAGACAGGATTCAATTCTGCATCACTCAGTGCAGGTCGAGCACTTTAACCACCAAACCATGCCAGGTTCAGAAGAAACTGCGAATAGCTTCTACAAAATAAGTACAGCTAAATATTTAGCTCCTTCAGAGCTATCTGAATTATGGTACATACCATTATCACTATCTTTTAGTTCCCTCTGCAAATGCTTGTTTTTACTAACAGAGTATGTAGGTTAGTTCATTATGAGCTACGGTCAAAGGTTGATTTATTTGTTCCTCTTAACTGTGATTTTTTTTAATGCACTTTGCTACATTCCATTTTTCTACTTGATGTTTACATTATCTACAAGCAAATAGTATTGAACTTCAATTTCAATGACATTTCCATTATTTTTCTGCTAGTAACTTGGTAAAGAACCTTATTAGTTTATCTTAAATACATGTGCAGTGGTTATTTACACTAGGCATCCCAAATTTTGAAATGATAGATTATAAGGAACATGACCCATAGCCAATTAGGTACTCTAATTGAATACTAGGAGTTGACCATCACTCTTATAACCCAGCCTCAGCCCAAAGTGCGGAGCACACGACCTTTGGATTTGTAGTCCGACATACTCAACACTGACAGAGAGATAAATTTCAACATTTTTTTTCTAACAAACAGGTAATACATCAGTTATCCATGTACGTGTTCCTATTAATATTCAAAAATTCCTAAAACATGTATTTCATTTACCTTTTAACACCTCTATGGATAAAATGTTTAATGATAAACAAAAACTAAGAGAGTAAACATAGATTTGTTCTTATCTAGTCAAAAGCCTGTTTAAATTTACATGTCAAAATCTTTCTATTTCTGACAAATGTAATGTAATATAATAGTTTTTAAAGCATGTTAGTTACTTGGTGATATCTTAATTTTAAATACCAAGTCCCTAATGTTATTGAAGAACTTAGCAAAAGGTAGTTTTATATTGTATAATAAAGACAAAGGAACTGTTGAATGCAACAAGATTATTTATTTTTTTATGTATACACAAACCCTTTATCTAGGGCTTATCCTGACTGCTCAGAGTTGAATGTTGCCCTAACAACAACTTCTTCCCTCACTGTATTGTTTGGCAAACAGAGAAAGTTGGATGTTGCCTTGACAACAGTCACTTCCTTCAACATATTGTTTGGCAAACTGAAAAAGTTGGATGTTGCCTTGACAACAGTTGCTTCACTCACAGTATTGTTTGGCAAACAAAGAAAGTTGGATGTTGCCTTGACAACAGTCGCTTCACTCAACTTATTGTTTGGTTTCACACTTAACCTGAATTTTTATTTTCAGATTCCTATTCTGATAAAAATAAAATGTTTTCACAGAAAAATCAACTTTCTTTTTATAGTGGATAATAATAATAATAATAACATTTTTCACAGATTGTAGAAGTTAACAAGTTTTATATCTATGTCAATGTTTAGATCTCTCTCTGATTCCTGAAGTCATACTTACTAAAGTTAAAGTACGAGAGTGCAGATTAGTAATTGCAAGAGAATCACTCAAGTTATATATATATATCATTTGCTGAGATTTTTGGTTAATTTCCACAAAACTATCAATGGTTTACAAATATTTTATTATCAACCCTAGAATTTCAATATTTACATATTAGATAAGTAAGATCTTTACCAACTACTACGACTATCATCTCGTAGCCTAATTATAAGATTGTTTGTTCCAACTGAAAGATGAACACTTGCTAGAATTAGGAGAACAGTCTCCTAATAGTTACACTTACTTTCACAGTCTATCATACAATGATCACTTCTGGTTATATTATTTTACCCAGTTCTGAACAGGATCTGGTGGTGGCTTCCTGCAAGTGTTCCAACTTTAGTTTTCACTGTGTTTTTAAAGTCTCTTGACTTTTTACTGACAATTTTCATAAGATAAAAAAAAGGGTTTAAAACAATTGTTACAACCACTTTTATGAAACTGAAATTTTGACAGTTTTTAAGACCTAAGTCTACTTTTTTTTTAAAAAGTAAAACAAGTTTTTTTACAGTTTTGGCAATGCATGTTTCTTGGGTGTACTTAAAACAAAATACAATTGTAATAGTAACAACTTCCATATATGGTCAATTCCATTCTCCTGATTGCAACAATACAGTTTTCACTTTTCATTGTTGTAACAGTATTAATTTTACAAGTTCTAAACCATGTAGCAACAATATAAATCTTAATTCTAAAATTTCAAAGAGTAATCACTTACTTAAATATTGTTAACAGTACAACTTTATACAAGTCCTAAAATGTGCCAATTTTCTTCGACTCCAAACTAAAACAACTCTTTAAACCATTGTATCATTCAAATATTTGTCACCATTCACCTAAATGGCTGCAAGAATAATTAGAAAATTCAAGTTTATATCAATATCTCATTATTAAAACAACATAAACCATTTCCTATGCATATTATTACGATAAATAACTGATTTAATATAAAACACAATAAAAAAGTTTTCAAAGTTTGTTAGCATTTAAAAAAAAAAAAGTCCTAATGACTTGGCGGACAAAATAAACCACAGTTAAAATTTTCACATACACAAATAGCTGTTTTTCAGTGGTCACAAAAAAAAAGTTAAGTGTGATAACAAACCCTTCTTTTCACTCTGTCTCAATTTCTTAGAATACAAATAGAAAGTTTAAATTCTTTCTGTTTGCCCTGATAACAGTTGGAATGAATAGAATACAACCATTTTGTATACATCATTTTTTTTGTAATTTTTATTTGCTTGCAAATAAACTTAAACAAAAATCAAATAATGGCACTTGATATGCAACACAAAGGAAATGAACCCTCATTCCTCCTCTGTAGTAGTTGTAAACAGATTTCGGGAGGACCAAGAACGTACGTTTAACTTTGTTCAATCTGATTCCAAGCGATCATTGGAAAAAAAAAAGCCTCGGAGTCACTCTTGCTTAGTAGTTTTCTTTCTTTTTAAAGTAGAAAACAAACTTTTAGAAGCTGTGCCCCCTCAGCTCTATCAACAACACAAGTATATTACCTTAATAACCACGCAGTTTAAAATCAGCAGTGGCCGTCAATTCTAAGTTGTACCATGATTGATGTGAGGTGACATCGGCTTATGTTCACAAAGAAATGTCCTCGGCAAAGCCATAGGTTTCCCCCCTTACAATTTTTCTCCATGTCATTTATTTGGAGTGTGTGCAATTGTACATGATATTTGGGGGTAGGTGGGGCTATTACATAATAATTTCTTGCTATTCAGATACAAAAAGTGACAAGATTGTTAACATGCTAGTTGTATTGGTAATTTCTGAAGAACTTTTTTCATATTACGTTAAATGTGCTTTATTTTTTTAGTAATAGTGAGTATTATCCTAATATGGTAATCAGTTTTTATCCAGTTCCAAAGTAACAGAGTTGTACTTGTTTTGTCGAAACATACATGTTTTGCTGTTGTGGTATATAGTAGCTTGTATACAACACACAGTATATCTGTAGAGTCATCCTTTTGTTAGAGTAAACTGTAGCAGTGACAATATAATCACTGTTCCCATAACTGCCAGTTGTGATAGTTTAGTGTGATAGCACAACGTGTTGCTACTATCTTATAACAGTTGGAGGAATGCTATGATAATGAGCAACAAAAATGTTTTATGTAATTAATCTTCTCTAAGTATATACGGAATGTTTACAAAATCGTGAAAAAAAAAGAACTTGTTTAACCTCAAATAAATGACAGTCTTTGATAAGAAATATCACAATAAGATTAAATAAAGCTTGGACAAGGGTTAACAACAACAACAGTCTGTATCCATCTCAGATGAAGTTTACTGGACATAGTTTCAACCTGACTAAAGTCTATAGAAGTAACCTTTCACTGGTTTTTGTAATACACTTATAACAATTAGGAACAGATTAAATGAAGCGAAAATGTCAGCTGTGGTAGGTAAGTTTGGTACAAAACTATGAAACAATTACTTTACGGCAGTCTCCACCTGATAGAGCTATCTACGTTAATTACAAGCACTGAAATCACAAGCTAACATAGGAGGTATGAAAAAGGATCTACGGAATGGTTATTATTGCTCAAACACAAACTAAACATACACAATCCACACTTAATACATGAACTGGCTGATCACAAAATCTTTATATAATCTAAGTTACACTACCTTCTGAGATACAACACAAATTAAAGTTAAGTCAATGTTTCATATTATTTCTACATCATATTGCTACATAACAATTTTTTTCCTTCAGCTTACTGGCACGTTTGACTTTCACACACATACAGAGTATGTATTTTTTTTAACATTTCTGGTTTTATGCACAGTGGGAAATGGGGGATTAAGAACTAATGTTTAAGATGACTCCATAACATTACATGCAGCTGTTATACAACCACCAACAATGTTTGATAAACAAATAAAGTACTATTACAAGTGTTCATACTAAAATCAGTGGAGTTTATCTTATTTTGATGTCTTTAAAGGATCAATAAAACAGTTTATACTATGATCAAAAGTTAGCTTAACTTGTTTCAGGATATTTAAAATGAACTAAGTAATATTTATGCTGGTTTTCCCTTCACTGAAATATGGGTGTCACTTGATCATTGAAAAATAAACACATTTTAGCTTTAAAAAAAAACCAAAACCAATGTCACCATCACATCAACAGGTTATGCAATATAGAAATCTAATATTAAAACTGCTAGTTTCAAGTTTTTCTGTGACAAAATAAAAAAAAATGGTATTTATAAATCTCATAAAACAAGTTTTATCTTCATACTGGAACTTTTTCTTTTTTTGCATTTCTAAGAAATGTATCGATCATATTTATCCATAAAATTGTATTTATGGAAGATTTCACTAACACTGCTTGCATAGTATTTGGACCGAAAGCTCTGCATAGACAGCAGCCAACTGATATTTATTTGGCCATGATGACAGACAAAAAATTAAGTACAGCAGCCCCTGGCAACTAGGGCCATTGATTCCAAACCTTAAGCCCTGATTGGTCCAAATTTACATATTAACTATTCATATCTTTAAGCATACAATTACCAATCCCACAGTATACTTACAAACATACATTCTTGTACAAGATGGGGAAAGCATTACACTATGGAAGGCACAAATAGTAGAAAGTGTTATTACATAAAATTCTGAGTCGTTAAGCCATTCCAGTCATAGGAGATGAATTTTAAGTTAGATCCAAGCAACACTTTGCAGCTGAGCATGCTGTCACTTTGTGTTTAGATTCCAAACTTTTGTTTATTTTACCAAATACACACAGTTTGAACAATTATCTATCAAAATATCAGGAGTTTCAATATGGAAGTCTTACGTTTGTTCTGGAAAACACGGAAAGGAAGTCCTTATACGCGTGACCATCTACACGACAAATTCTGATGGAAAGCACACTTACCATATAATCTTTGAAAAAGTTCGATACTCATTTTTTTTAATAACAGGGGTCAAAAAGGCTGTTTAGATAATGTTATATGACTAGCATTAAAAGCTTAATATCCACCACATCAGAGAATTCTCAGTGTAAATATTCACAATATAATGAAACAGATGCAGGTGAAATTGATTGTAATCACGAGGAATTCTTAAAAACACAGCGATCAAGGTCAACTATATTTATATAACAAGTTATAAAGATGTTTGTTAAAGAGTATATAATGCCCCAGTATTTGAGAAGAAAAAGTTTTTATATATAAACCATCTTTTATCATTTTTTTTTTGCTATTTTCTTTAAAACACCAATTTTCCTCAGAATTTTTTTCCAGCACAAAAATGTGTATTTAAATACCTTATCATAAATACCTTAATTTAATTTCTGAAATTAACTACATAAAGTGTTGTTTATACAATAAAAAGAGTACTGAAAAATTATGTTGAACTAATACTTTAAACATTACAATTTTAACCTGATTTTATCATACACAAATTATATATAGTTATGTACTATCATAACAAATAGTAAACATTTTTGTTCCTGGAAAGAAGTGAGTTTCTCAGCATTTTGGGGCATTAATAAAAGACACTAAGAGCATTGAAATCAAACAAACCATATTCTGGTTAGGTTGGAAAAAAAGAAGATTTGTAGCAAAGGAGGCACAAAAAATGACCGTGTCAAATACCATCTCAGCTGCAAAAATTTCATTTCACACCTAAAAATATAATCTCTTCGTCACAGGGAATTTACCCGGTATGCCCCACAATCATTGTGACTACATAAAACATATCTTGGGGTCAATACGGGTTCACAGGAATGGCCATTCAAAACATATCTCTAACAGTGGAACGAGGTGGAAGACGGTCTTTTGCGATCCTCAGAAGACAGGAGAATGATCAGCTGCCAAACTAGTGCTAAGAATGACATTGGTCGTATTCCATTACCAGACGTTTGATGTGAGCCAGTTTTTCATGTAAATACTGATACTTTCTTTTCATCTCCTGGTATTTTTTTCGTTTTTGTTCTTTATACTCCTTCTTGATTTCTTGTGTCGTTTTCTGTAAAACAGTTCCAGTTAACTACTACCAAAACTGACATATGCATATACAAGAGAAAACATTTTCAGAATACTTTAAAAATAATATACCTTTAAATACATACTGCAAGAAACAATACATCAATGTAACATCAGTCCTACTCAACAATTTTTTATTCAATGATAATCAATTGTTTATATTTCCTTCGTGAATGTTTCCAGGAAAATTACAGGTAGAAAACTTTACTTCTGACTTCAATAAATAACACTTAAACAATTTCAGTAGAATACATACATTTTTTACCAGTTAAGACTAAAAGATATTACAGTGAAATCTCCCTTATACATACAGGGTAACAAAACAAGTAATGATATTAAATGGGAATATTTACTAAATAATAGAAAGGAACAATGTAATGATATGATTTCAAATTCGATGACGAGGAACCCACTTTGAGACTAATAATGGCTGGAGACGGCTTAAATGGGTAATGAAGAACATTATGATGTCAACTGATGATGACAAAACCTTGTCGAAACGTTGTACATTTGCTGTCATGTTAAACTTATATTAAAGTTTTTCTTCATTACCCATTTAAGCCGTCTCCAGCCATTATTAGTAATGATATGATATGAAATAATTCAGTTAACTAAAACAGAGAAGTAATTAATAACAATTGTTTAATGTATGCTTCACAATATAGAGTTATGAGAATACCTACTTTCCACTCCTGGGAGCCTTTTTCACAACTCCCTAGCCTGTCTTCAAGCTCGGCAAATCGTCTAGATACGTTCATAATGTGTGAATGTAACTTCTGATATTGTTCATATTCTGCATTAAAGTGAGCCTTATACCTAGCTCTCTGGTCATTACTGGTAATTTCAACATATTTCCTGAAATAATGAGTAAAGGTCAGAGTGTACACACTTATATATATATATACTAATGACCACATAATCTTGAAACCCTATTCAGGACATGACATTAACTTTTCCTTAGATGCCATCGTCCCACCTTTGCACAACCATCAAAATGTTTTAGGCACTAAACAACAATCTCAACAGGGTGAATTGTACACTCCTGTGTATATCTGTTAAACAATGACAAAATAACTAGTTTCATACTATACTATAACAAAGCGTTAGCTCAAGCCTGTGGCACATTCGCAGTATACCTGGGTACATCTACTATCCAAAAACACCCACTTCTGGTTAGATATCGGGAGCCAGATATCCAAGATGTCACATTCCTTATACAGAAATTGGGTTAGGTTGAAAATCAATTTTATAGTGGGCAGGTACCAATGGATTGGAAGTTAGCTAATGTAACTCTTTTCAAGAGAGGTGATAAAAATTGTCCCAGTAATTATGGACCCATTAGTCTTACATCAGTTGTGGGAAAAATTTTGGAAAGTCTGTTAAAAGATGCTTTGCAAAGTCATATAATATTATTGGATAGTCAACATGGTTTCACTAAGGGGAAATCTTGCCTTACAAATATTTTAACATTCTTTAAAAAGGTTACTGCTTATGTATATGAGGGTAAGGGTGTAGATTTGGTGTATCTGGATTTTCAGAAAGCATTTGACAAGGTGCCACCTAAAAAGCTTGTAAAAAAAATTAGCTTTTTAGGTGTGGGGGATAAGTTAGCAAATTGGATAGGTGAGTGGCTGGATGGAAGAAAGCAGAGGGTTGTTACAAATGGAGTTCAGTCAAACTGGAGTAATGTCACAAGTGGAATACCTCAGGGCTCAGTCTTAGGATCTTTCCTCTTTTTGATTTACATCAATGACATAGATGAAAGGATAGTCAATAAATTGCTTAATTTTGCAGATGATATTAAGGTCTTTGGCATTGTGGCTGTGAAGAGGATGCTGCTGATTTACAAAAGG